CCAACCTCTGGCGGAGCGCCAGGTCTCAACACGGCTGCCTCTCCTCAGTGGATGTTCCTTGTGCCTTATTGTGTCCCACTTTCCTCCTTGGGGCAGGATTGTTAGTTGTTTCAGGCCCTATGCCTGGGGCCCCTTTGAGCCCATCAGCTCTATTCCTGGTGTCGGCATGGGTTCCCCTGTCATGCAGGGTTAAAGAAAACAAAATGAATAAAAGCAGGAAAAAAAAGAACCGCAAAAGGGTCTTCCCATCCGGTGTCCTACCGGTTGGTTCTTCCCGCACTCCTGCCCGTACTTGGCAGTATTCCCCTGATGCTGGTCCTGCTGGGTCTCTCTTCCCATTCCGCTCCCAGCCCAGCTCCCTGACCCGGTACCTGGAAGCGGCCGGGTGGGCAAACTTCTGCTTCCCCAGGGTAGGTCTCAGCTGTTCCTCTGGGTCACCGTCCTGATTGCACTGTTGTTTGGAACCTCCACCACCGAACTTCCTCAGAGGTACAAGGGGGAAGTCACCCCCAGCGCTCCTCCCTTCCTGGGGTTCCGCCTTGGTACCTTCGGTGTGAGGGACCCCTGTTGCTTCAGCTGCCTCCTGTCGTCCGGGCATTCCCCATTTGTGCCAGCTCTGTCCGTTGCTGGCACGGAGAGCGTCCGCCTCCTCACTCGCTCTCTCCGCCTTACTGCCGGCATCCGTTTTTATCCTTGCCAGCTAGTGCATCCCCATGACGTCACCCGCCAGCTTAATTGCATGAAGTCACGACTTGTGAACTGAGCAGGCTCTTCTCTTCGTCCCTCCAGTATCACGCCTCCTGCATGTAAGTAATTATTTCATGCTTCCCTCTTTATTTCAATGTTTTTTTTCTGCACTGTGCCCTGTGGGTGGGGCTTCCCAATCCCTCTTCTCGGTCTCCCTGGGATGCACTGGAATAAGGTACCCAGAGAAGTTGTGGTCTCTCCATCCTTACAGGTTTTTAAAACCTGGCTTAAGCAGGGGTCTTAGAGCAGAAGGTTGGACTAGACCTCCTGAAATCCCTTCCAGCCCTAATTTTCTATGTACCTATGGTTCTATATGTATTAGGGAGATGCCCTTATTTGTTGGAATTAAACAAAGATGAAGAGAGCTATTTAGAATATTTCAGCCTGTTTCTGTTCTCACTTAAATTAACAGGATTCTGGAATGTTATTATTGCAGCTAATAAATGCATTTGGCATTTATGCTTAAACCTAGGGGGTGAAAATAAAGGTGCTAGGAGACTTCAACTCTTACTGAGGGCAAAGGAATATTAAAGCTCTTTAGGAGACAATCGGCAGGACTGCAGCAGGACAATCACCAGGCTCTTTAGGAGACAAGCAGCAGGACTGCAATACCAAATATTGAAGTGTGTTTCACAAGAGCCGACAAGTGGCAAGGGTTGTTGCCTGCATTAGGTTAACAGCTGAAAAATCTGAAGAAAGACAGAGTTAGTTGGAGGACAGGATTCAAATCAAGCCATTGTTAACAATGCTTATAGCATCCTCAGATGTATTTTTACAGAAAGAATTTAAATCCACTTCCTAGAAAGGATTACAACCATTAGATTTAATTGAAACAAGGATAACAAGCAATAGAAGACTTCATAATCTGTGAGGAAGGAATGATGGGTGATGCCCTGCCCCAGTGAAGGAGAAGTTATACTGCCACAATACAACATCCCCTTACCAGATTTTCAGCTTTCACTGGATTCTGTGCCAACTTCTGTCAATGACAGGCTGGATCCAGCCCTGGCATACACAGGTACAGCTTGGCAGAGTCAAATACTGAATACATCTGTATCTCGGTGCCTATGTTTCTTTCCTCACCATGGTAGCTGAGCCCCGGCTTTCACAAAGTCAGACTTTGGAGTGTAAAATGATGCATCTTATCTATATCCCTGGGCTTCTTTCAAAACTGCATGGAATTTGGATAAAATGAGATCATACTGTCACAGAATTTCAGCAGCAGACAGCTGAGCAAAATACATCCACCTGCACCAGGCAGTTAAGGGGAGAATAATGAATAATCACCTATGTGTTCCCCCTTATCTACCATTGGCCTGTTGCCCAAGAGACTCACAGTCTCTTACTTCTTCAGATTTTTTGGCTGCATCTACAGGTAAGGTGGAGGTTTTCTATCTTTCATATACCATTTCCCCACAGGACCAGCCCTTCTTCAAAGGCAGGCATACCTTTGATATGCCTGCTCATGTCAAATCTAACATGACCTGTGGTTCCGATAGCAAGCTTAACCTTTCAAAAAAAGAAAAAAAGGCAGTAAGCCAAAGTGTGGCCATCTCTGTTGTAATTCACATGAAGGAAGAAGGGTTACATCAGGGCTAAATTTGATCCTAGCGGTCTGTGAGGTATCTTTAAATACATCACATTTAGTTCATGAAAAGTACTGGTAACAATGTCACACATGAGCCATCTTCATTTCTCAGTTATGCTGGTCCAAGCCTAGAGCAATTTCAAGTGAGTAATTCAGGATTTAGTCCAGTGTACACAAAAGCAAGATCTGTCCTGTATCTTCTTGGCTTTCTTCTCTTCGTCTCTAAGTTTGACTTGTTTCTGCCTTTTTTACTTTTATTTAGTGTGTTTTCCTGTTTCTGTCACCTTTCTTTTCACTTATCAACAAGCTGCAACTTGCTGTCTGTCTTCCCTACTTACTCCTCAGTAGGTGCGTCTACGTGAGATCCTTTACTGCACAGTAATTTACTACATAGTAAAGCATCACTGTTTACATGTGCAGGCAGTTACTACACAGTAAATTAGTCTACTGTAGGGTTAGTTTACTACCTAAAAATGCAGGTAGTAAATGAACTGTGCAGTAGGTACTGCCCAGTAGCATACGTGTAGCAAAACAAATTTGCTTCCAGTCAGCCCCACCACCAGGGGACTAGCCTCAGGCTTGCCCCAGAGGCACGGAGTTTTGAGTTTCTCTAGCCCAAGGGCTGGAATGGCTCTTTGTCTGCCTCAGCCTGGCCTTTACACCTCTGGCATGATCCCAGGGCCTGTGCCATCTTCTGCCTGCCTCTGGCCATCAGGTCCCACAGCAGTGGCCCTGTGCCAGCCACAGCAGGCTCACAGAATTCAGCAGTGGCCCTCAGAGCTAGCCCCACCACCTGGCTGCCTCCCATGCACTGTGCCCCAGTGCTGCAGGCATGTGCTAAGGCCTGGCAGCATCCAGACTCAAATGGAGTCCCCAAGGGTCATTGAAGGAGTTGCACACCATAGTCTGGGGCCCCAACTGGTCCCACAGATAGACCACAGACCTGAATGGCACTGTAGGGTGATGCCAAGATGCAGAGCCAGTTTTTCCGGGGCAGGTGCTCCAATGCACACATCTATGAGACCCTGGTCGGCCACATGCAAGAGTGCAGGCACCAGCAGTTAGCATGACAGTGCCACACGAAGGTCAAGGCCCTGTGGGCACAGTGAGTCCATGTCACCAACCACAACCACTGCTCCAGAGCTGCCTGCAGGACCATGCCCTTCATGTGGCAGCTGGACTGCATCCTGGCTCTGCAGGACCCTGAAAGCAGCTGCGTCCTGTTCTCCAGCATGGGTGTCCTGCTAGAGCATCCATTGTGGCCTGGCAGCAGTGACTTATTTGCAGAGGAGGGCTCTTGGGGCACCAGAAGCAGGTCCTGATGTGTTTCCCACCCTTGGGTTCATCCAGCAGCTCCAGGAGCCCAGGCCAGTGACTGCCACACCAGCTCTGGGTACACAACCCCACTCAGGAGGACAGGCCACAGATGGCACCAACCACCATGATGAACTCCAGGTCCTCCTTGGGAGGGGATGGGGGTCACTGCCCAGGCAGCCAGGCACCATGCTTTTTCACCTTGGGACACTGGTGGGATCCACAAGTCATCACTGCCTGCAGGGACAGACTCAGGCCACCACGGATGCCTGCCATGCCTATCCAGTAATACAGGGAAGAATGCTGGGGGGGGAAGGGAGCAACATGGCCGCCAAGCATGCCCCAGCTCTCCTTCCCACCCCTGGGCTGTAGACCTGGACCAAAGGACCCCACGTGGAGGGAGGGCCCTCTCTCCCTTTCTCTCCTCTCCCCTGTACACCCCTGCTTGCAAGAGAAGAAAGTGGGGAGTGGGTCTGGAGCTATGGCATCTGCTGCCAGGAGCAAGCCCTGGCCTGGCCTGGCCTGGCCTGGCCTGGCCTGGCCTCGTTAGGAGATCAGAATGACAGGCTGCTTACCTATGGAGGGAGTGGGAATGGAGGGCTCAGCCAGCAGCTGCCTATGGCAGAGCCCACCCACCCAACTTACCATGGTCCCTGGGCATCTGTGCATGCACAACCCCTGATCTGAGGTCGGGCAGTGCACAGTGCTTTGGTATAGTACATGTTATCTCTGAAATATTCCAAACTATCACAAAAAGCCTCTCTCTCTCCTAGCTCTGCAGGTCCAGCATGTGCAAATGAGGGAGAGGCACCAGCCACCATTGAGAATGTGCCCTCAGGGATACTGCCACCTTTGGCCAGCATGCTCCACATGCACTGCCTCCAACAGCGGCAGACACAAGACTGGACCCTGCTGCTGAACCAGCTGGTCACCATGATAGAGAAGTGGCTGGCAGACTCATGGGCCTGGCACACCAAAGACGTTGCATGCGACTGGGAGTGGGACTGTGAGGACCAGGTGTTCTGGGACAGGCTTCTGGCCTTCAAGGACAGGCACATTGTTCTCCTCAACAGGATGTTAGAGGTGAAGGAGCGGCAAGTGGCCATGGTGGCCCAGGCAGTGGAGGCTCTAGAGGATGACCACCAGGTGCTGGACACCATCCTGGCCCTGATGGTCACCTTCATGTCGCCTGCCGCCTTGCCCCTGGCACTGCCTGTCCCCTGACAGCCACCCAGCAGCAAGCCCCCCAGTGGGCTTAGGCTGAGGTGCAGCAGCACCTGCAGCAGCCAGGGCTCCCTGCCCTTGCACTCACACTGGGTCCCACAGCAGCCAGGCCCTCTACCAGGGACCTCCCCCCTGCTGCTTGTCCACGTGGCATATGACCTCTTAGCAGGAGCTGCCTACAGTAGGGCCAGCACTGCACATGGGCCCTGCTGGCCCTGGTTTCATGATGGAGGAGCAGGATCCAGCAGTGCAGGCAGAACAGCGGCCACCCTCAGCCCCAGGTAAGCTCCCCACCTGATGGCCTTGCTGTGGTGTGCACACCCATGATCGTATGGCCAGAGGTTGGGGTGCTGGGCACCTGTCCCCTGGATCCTCCCTGTAGGCACCTCCATCCCACCATCCCCCACCCTGGGAGGGCACACAGCACAGTGTATATTGTTTGCACAGGGAAGAGGGTGCTTTATTGTTGGTGGGTGGTGGGATTGGTGGTGGGGTCTGGATTTGGGGGGGAAGGGTGGGAGGGAGTATATAGTTGTG